GGCCGCAGGGACGGCGGGAAGGGGCCGCCGTTCACCGCGTCCCCCTTCCCCTTCCTCCTCCTCCTCCTCCTCCTCCTCCTCCGCTCCGCTCCCAGCGCCGCCGCTTCCGGCGCCGCCGCCCCCTGCGCATGCGCGCGGCCCCCGGGGAGGGGGCGCTGCGTCACGGGAGGGGCGGGCGCGCATGCGCGGTGCGCACCCCATCCGCAGCGCTCCCCCCGCCCCTCCCGTTTCCCGGTTGCGATCCATGCGGGGAAGGGGGGAAGCGCTGGAATTTCCGAGCTCCTGCCGGGATACCGCGTCCCCCGCTTCGGCGGGCGCGTAAATGACGTTTGCTGCGTATTTGTCCTATTCCCGGTGGCCCCGTCGTTCCCCCCGCGTGGGGTTTGCCCTTTGTGCGAAGCCGCCGAAAACGTCTGAACGCTTCGGGGGCGAGAGAAACGGCGGCGCGCGGGGTCCCGGCGGGGAACGGGCTGCTCCTGCTCAGCGAGCGCGCGGGGAGCTGCTAAACCGGCGGCTTAGGCGAAAGGAGCGCTTAATTAACGCGGGTGCTGGTGGCTGGTGCTGCATTTCCAGCCCCTAATCCCGTCCTGGAGCCAGGACACTCCAGAGCAGCCCGGAGTGCCGTGGGGATGCGCCGGGCATGGCCTCTTCCCTGCGCTTCTGCACAAGTGACTCCCAATGGACTTCCCGGTGCTCCTATGCAGCAGTGCTTGCTCTTGCATATAGAGCATATATGCATAGCATATAGAGCCTGTATGCTCTTGCATGTAGGTCCTGTGCAGCAGTCCCTGCAGCAGCACTTGCTCTTGCATATAGGGCATATATGTATAGCATATAGAGCCTATATGCTCTTGCATATAGGTCCTATGCAGCTGTCCCTGCATGTGGCACTTGCTCTTGCATATAGGGCATATATGCATAGCATATAGAACCTATATGCTCTTACATATAGGCCCTATGCAGCTGTCCCTGCATGTGGCACTTGCTCGTGCATGTAGAGCATATATGCATAACATATAGAGTCTATATGCTCTTGCATATAGGCATTATGCAGCGGTCCCTGCATGTGGCACTTGCTCTTGCATATAGGGCATATATGCATAGCATATAGAGCCTATGTGCTCTTGCATATGGGCACTGCGCAGCGGTCCCTGCAGTGGCACATAGAGCCTCTCTGCAGAGAGGGCTGCAGCGAGAGCCAGCCCTGTGTGACATTTGCGCCACACGCAGCTCCGTGCCAGCCCCCATGCCACCTCTTTTTCCGTTGTTTTGCTAGAGTGTCATTGCTGGCACTGAAGAAGCTGGAACAGCACCCAGGGAACAGTTGCAAAGACTTGCCTGGGATCCAGCAGCGGGCGCAGGGCTGGCTTCCCAGCAGGGACTCGGGCCCAAGCCCATTTTCCATCAGAGACAAGCTGTTAAATTTCCAGGGCTGGAGGGGATGCTTTTCAATTATCCTCCTGCAGATGGAATAATGCTGAGAGGAACAGGCTGCATTCACCCGTTTGGGTATCAGACACTGTGCAGTACCTGAATAGCTTGAAGAAAAGAGTAGGGCAGCCCCTCTGAGAGCTGGAGGGCAAGAAATCCTTCACCCTGCAGCAAGCTGAGGCTCTCCGTGGGTATTACAGGAACAGGGTAGCTCTGTGACCTGAGCTATTGACATGCATTAAATCCACGCTTATGTTGTATTGCGGAGACTGTAATTGGTCATGGGGATGAGCAATTAGAGCAGAGCAACATCTCTCCTCTCCAAGTTAGGTGGGCTGCGCTGCTCCAGCTTCATCATCCTGGGAGGCAGGACTGCATTCGCTACCCATTCATCCTTGGAAAAGGGCAACCCCTTTGGCAGAGCAACCCCAGACCCAGCATCCACATCTGTATTGTGTGGATCCCAGAGCAGCATCAGGAAGAGCCTCTGCAAAGGCATTAGAGCAGCGGCATCTGCAGCGCCCTATTTCTGGAGGAGGAAAAGCCATGGGATGAGCTGCATGCCCAAAGGGCAGACCAACATCTGCATCGGACAACCAAGGACAGGTGGGAGGCTGCTGGTTTAGTCACTGTCTTCATTTATATGGAAAAGTGATGGTGAGGTTACAGGCATGAAGGGTTAAAAAAAATACTCGGACAATGGAAAAAAAAAATCTAAGCTGTTTATTCGCAGTGAGGTGCAGCAGTATGTGTGTCAGAGGTGTTTCATCAAGGACTCCCCCTTGCTAGCACTAAAGCTCCTGTGAGTTTTCCATTTCTCCTCCTTCCCCTGTGCTCCGCTCGCACAGTGCTCCTCAGCCCTGCTCCGGATCCGAGCGCACCCTGGCTTTCCCAGGGCCTGGCACCGGCTGTTCGCACACCCCTGAAAAGTGAGGTTTTTGGTAGATGCATCACTACAGCAGCCCGAAGCGCGAGCCGCCTGCCAGCCGAGCCGCAGTGACCTGTGCACAGTGACGAGTCCTATTTCAGTTGCATTAAGGCAGTGCCATTTCTCCTCTGGTGCTCGGCACCCAGCAAATCGGACCGGCTTGGCTGGTCGAACCGCCCTCCCGGGCGCCTTCTCCTCAGCCCCACTGCACTCCGGGTGTCTTCCGTCCACTTTTCCTGCAGGAAGGTTCAAATCACTTTTCCAGCAGGATTTCTGGGCGACTCTTCCCACTCTTGTTGGCGTAGTGAGCCTTCTGTCCACACTGGAAGCAGGGAACGGGGGGAACAGGATGATCACCACTGGTGTCTCTAAAATGAGCAGGGTTTATCTAACACATTCTTGTGGATGGAGGAGCAGTGTGTCTCTCGGGCTGCCTCTTGGAGGCACAAGCTGTGCCAAAACCCTTCTCCTGCAGCAAATCCCTGCTCCAGAGGGATGCCAGGGGCTTGTGCCGAGTATGCCATGAAACCCACCTCGTCAGCCCTCCCCATCCTCGCAGCCAGGGCGTTTTGACCCAGGCACCACGTTGTGCCCGGCCAGTTCGCAGCCCAGCTGGCACGGAAAGGCTGCCGGCCAGCCCCGCAGCTCCAAAACACCCCCAAAAATGGGCTCAAAAAAAGAGCAAGGAGACGACAAATCTCAACTCAGATGCTCCTTAGCCAAGTCCTCCCGCCTGGGGCTGCCCTCAGATGGCTCCGGCCAAGGCAGGACCCTCCCCAGTGGGTTCTTGTCCCCCTAACACCCACCTTGAAGCGGGTGACGGGCTCGGGCAGGCGCTGCGGGCCCAGGGGCTGCTCGGCCGTGCTGGCTGCCGGCCGCGGCTCCGGGCGCTGCCGCTCGCTCCCCTGTGCCGGCCCTCGGGGACGGTCACCAGCCTGCGGGGACAGCGCACGTGAGGGTGGCCGGGGCAAGGCTGGCACTGGCTCCTGCCCTTCACCGAAGGTCTCAGAGGGCACGAGGAGTTTGGGATAAGAGGGGATGGACGTCACCTTGGTCTGCTCCATGCTGCACATCAGCCCGGCCTTGAGGCTAGAGGGGGACACAGGACAGACAGGTGGTTACTCACTGGGACACAGTGGCACAATCCACCCAAAATCCCCCCAAATCCACCCACAGGACTATCCCAGGGCTGCAGCCCCCATGAAAGGGTCACCCACTGAATCCAGCACATCCCCTGCTCAGCTCTAACCCCGGGGCACCAGCTCATGCAGGAAGGAGAAGGGAGCCCCGGGTGCGAATGAGGACTTGGGACCCCGCATGAGGCCCAGGCCACAGCCACCTGCAGCGAGGGGACAGCTCTGGGGGGGACACGCGCCCCACTCGCCCCGCACGTACTGCATGAACCTGCACTTGGGTCCCTCCGGGCAGAAGCCGACGAGGTAGTTGGTGCACAGCACGCGCCGCGTGTGCCGGTACTTGCACAGGGGCCCTGCCACGCACAGCGGAGGTGCCCATTAGCGCGCCGCTCCCTCCCGGGATCTCGGGAGCCCGGCTTTCCCGGGCAGCCCCGTTCCCCTCAGCAGAACGTCCCCCCGTTGGCTCCTCGGGCCGTGCGGGCGCTCACCGTGCTTGCAGAAGCCGCGGTCGTACCAGGGGCAGCCGGTGGCGCGGCTTGTGGCATCAATGTGCAGGAAGGGACATTCCTTATTGCTGCACTCGCCTGCGGGAGCGACAGGCTCAGGACAGCGCTCACCCGAGTCAAACCAACAGAAAACCCTCAGTTTTGACCCATTTTTGGGACCGAGGTGCTGCTGCTCTCCATTGGGGAGCACCTGGGCAGGGCCTGGCCCCCATGCCCTGGGAAGGACAGGCTCATTCCCAGGCTTATCCCCAGGCTTGGCCAGGGAAACAGGGACCCTGGGCAGATGCCTGCGGCATTTCTTCCCACAAACAGGAGGTGGCATCAGGCAGCGGCTCCAAGGCAGCTCCCAGGGGCACGGCTGGGGTCCCTGCACTCGGGGTCCCCGTCCCCGCTCCCAAACCTACCAAATTTGGAGTAGAAGTAGCACATGGGCATCTTGGTGACGTCGTACTCGTGCAGGAAGTCGCACTGGTCGCCTCTCTTGCAGAGCCCCCGCAGCCAGTGCTTGCAAACCACCGTCCTGTCGCCACTGACGTGGCGGAAGGGGCACAGCAGGCCTGGCCGGGCACGGTGCCGCCGTCACGGGCAGCTCCTGCCCGGCGCCGCCGTCACGGGCAGCTCCTGCCCGGCGCCGCCGTCACGGGCAGCTCCTGCCCGGCGCCGCCGT